TGCGGATTTATCACATGGTCGTCAATGGCAGCAAAATCGGTGGTAGACCAGCAGAAGAAGAAAACACGCGGCTGATTAATTTCAAAGAATTTTTAGACGGTTACAGCGATTGTTATACTCATTTGCACAGTGATCAAGGTTCCATGAACCGAAAGCTTTGTGTGTCTTTTTGAATATATTTGAATGCATTTGTAATAATTTGGTTTATTATTTACATCATCATAATACATATAGCTCAGAAGAGGAAAAGCCTTTAGGCGGGTTTTTTTTTTTTTGTTACTGTGACTTGTGCGTGACCAGGGCGATGAACTGCCTCCATTCCGGTACTCATTAGGGCAAATGGGAAATAAATCGGACGACCAGTGAATAATGAATCGAGTGGAAAAGCGAAGGGAGCGGCAAAAGAAAAACAACGCAAGAATGGTGAGCTGTTTTGCTCGAGGGATGCTCTAGGTAGACAGCCTTCAAACCACAAGCACCTTTGTGTAGATAATGTGATGAATACCTTGATGCGGCTTATCATTATTTGACAGCTGCGAAACATGTCTGCTTACTTTATCAGGGTATGTAAATAATTCACGCATACATACCTATCGCGCCCTTGTAGCAGCTTGTACTGACACGCACGTAGGACTCTAGCTGCGATATTTGCTTAAGGCTTGTAATTCTTGCACGTCTTTAATTATTTTCATTAGGGCGGTCGACTACAAAGTCAAAGTCAACTTGACTAACGCTTTATCTGTGGAATGTAGTTGCATGCAACGTTTATGCAGTATATTGGGTATTATCATACAATTAAGTACCGTTATTGGTCGCTCATTCAAATCGTGGCCCTTAATACAATCTCAATATGCGATGAGTGCATAATATTGAAACCGTAACGCGCACCGTATAGATATGCGAATAAGGCATGGTGATGTCCTCACTCCGTGTAGCTTGTAGGCGGTGTAGTACACGACAGCTTGTCCATCTGTCCTGTTTATGGATCGTATACGCATGAGGACGGTCATCATGATAGCGCTTTATTACTGCTCTGGCATTCTGTGAATACACAGCACCATCTCATAATGCCAGGGATATTTTGGATAATTTGCGCCTCTCCAAAAATAAAGGTACTTATCTAACGACGAGCTGTAACGAAATTCATTCATACCCCGTCCTCCACCTCCCTCTGTACTTACTGCCCAGCCCCCTTTCCCACTAACAATATCCTTATATGGTCCTCGCTCCTCACCTGTGACGCCTGTCCTGGCCCACTTCTGATCGGTGCTATGATATGACGATACATCTGTATGTATGACGTGTGTGTATGACGTTTTGATATAGCAGCCGACGCCGATCGCCGAGCAGGATGTGTGAAAGGAAAATTCGAAAGCCAACCGCCGTAGTGGCCTGACAAACCGTTATTCAAAGTCTCGGCCGATTGTTTATCACTTTTGGATTCTATCGTCAAATTTACAATACATACTTGAAGAAAAGAAAAACCGTGTTGGTTCTACGGCTCGAACAAGAGGTCCTGAAATAGACTATCACAGAAGAAGAAATTGTTTATTTAACTTTTACATTTGCTACACGAGCATGCTGTAAATGGATAGCGTACCATCGTTCCCATGACGAGTTTCTTATGAGTAACGAGCCGCTATAGTCAGACTATTAGTCATTGCGTGTTCCAACTATAGTCACTAGTCAGGCGCTGTCATTTCATCTCTCGCGTCTTTCTGGTAGGGCTATTTTAAATTAGGTAGTTATCTATCACAAGCTCTTACGAAGGTATCCACAAACATAACAAAATAATCAAAATCGCTCTTTCAGTCCTTTTGAGTTACTTTCCCTTTCCCTAACGCCCTGCCCGCTGGGTTTTGCCATGCCTCCTGCCATCTGATGTTATACCCTACCCTATTGTGACCGGTAGGCGGTCACCGTCCCTTGTTGTCGAACCGGACCGGGTGTCGGATCCGTTTCACAGCGGCCAAACACGCCATCAGACAGCGTAAACTATCGACCTGCACGGGGTCCACCCGCCCGTCTGCCGCGGGGTCGCACCGGCCGCTCGAAAGGGCCGCCGTTCCGCCAACATTCTACAGTCATGGTGAGCACACACGCCAACCGGCGGAGTTTATGCTCATTGTGATAAGTACGGGTTTCCACTTCGTCAGGCGAGTAGAAGAGTTATGAGGGAGTTTGAGTGGGATATGTTACGTCTGCACGGCGTTGATTCGTGGTAATTTGACGCACTGGCTTGTACTTTGTTATGCGTAACTGCGGTGTTGTGTTATTACTGGGAAATCAGGGCTTCTGTCAACGCACACGCATGCTTAATAATAATGTATGTCTCTAGGGAGCATTGCTCCCATTCGTTGCGAGAACGTGAAAATTTTAGGAACTACATACCTATACCTTCGCCGTCAAATCATTATTCATCGCGTAGGCATAATTTACGGCGTGGTGTGGCTTTGCAAATTTTCCTTGTTTAAAATCATACATAGTCTTGTTGCCATAAAACCTCATTAACTTCCCAGATTAATGTTTCTGTTTTTGTTTCCTGTCATCGCCCTGTCCTTCGCATGCACACACGCACAATGCGTGTAGGGACGGTGTTATAGGGCTAATTGAAATTAAACTTTAATGAACGACGGTAAGGGTGGTTAGAACGCCCACCCTAGGTGGGTTAGTTATTTATTTCGTCATTTGTCATGCGTATCGGGCAGTTGGGATTCTGATATGCTTGCTGCCAGGTAATCAGCTCATTTAAAAAAAAAAAACCTTCTGTCTATACAGGGAACACATTTTTTGTGGATCCACCGATAATGCAACAAGCAACATTTCTTTTTAAGATGCGTGTAATCTGGTGCTTTTGCCTCGGAACATCTTTGCACCTGCTGTGTATAGTATATTCATAAACAGAAACACGCCATTTTACATGGCTTATCCAGCTTGCATGCTTAGTTTAGGTTTAATCACAATTCTAAATGATATATTTAGCTAGCATTTCAACTTTGTTGATAATATATGAGCTTTGCCACTGATTCGATTCATCGGATAACGCATTGCCGACTAAACTGACTTAACCAATTAATTGATATGGTTCGCCTGAACTTTCCTGCCAACTCTAACTCATGACGTCCCAGCTCCAAAACCCATCAAAGCCCGACCCCATCAGCAGTTATATCGCCCGAGGGTGTCGGATGTGGCTTCACTCTCGCGGTACCACGGCCGCGCGAAGCCCCTCAGTGACCCTCGCGCTGACCGTGGCCGTGTCAATCGGATGAGTGACCGCGTGCTGCCTCCGGTGTGCCATCAAGTCACACAGCGGAACGGGTAACAGCGGACGGTGGCCTTGAGAGCACAAAGGCTGTCTGGTTTGCGTTATGCTCTTCTTGAGCTAAGTTAGACTGTCTGCAGCACAGAAGCTGTTTATTGTTAGCACGATGCGGCTTGGAGTCACACTCTGTCTGACTCAGATTGTTTTATTCAGTGTCTTGGAGTCAGGAAGCACGTCCGACGGCGCACGCACTGTGGGATGAGGACAAGTTTTTTGTTTAACATTTATGAGTCAGTCAGTGAACGATCAGCTTCTCTTGAAAGCTACCTGAACATACCTGAGAGGCCACAAGAGGCCACAGAGGTCTCTTTCGAAAGCATACTCATTATTTCATGAAGCACCGAATCTATGCATGCCATCTCAACGAATATGTTCAACCGAAATATGTATCTTGGGCCTTGGGTACTTGAGCAGACAGTATGGCTTCAGAGTTATACTTGCAGATGTCCATTTGACTCTCAGTCTCGACTGGATATGACTGCATCGTCCACACATAAGCCGTACGATCAGTTGGTATAGATGCGGACATGGGTTCATAGGGGATTCGATGTGGCGAAACAAAGCGTCATGGAACCTCAAGTAGCTTATACTGAATTAATTGCCATTTGGTGGGAGCATCTAACAATGTGGGCATGGGGTACATATTTCAACATAATTAGCTTCCACTTTCCAGAAGTTTAAGCCGTCTTTTCCGGGAAGGGTAATGCTATGCATTTGTCACTCATTGCCACTCGACGCACTTATCAAATAATTCAAAATCGCTACCGAATGCATATATGCATTCGGTATATGCATACCAAACCAAATACATATTTGGTTTGGTATATTTGGTTTGGTAAGATGTGTAGATGATCATATGAGCATCATATGGTCATCTACTAATATGTAGGGATAATATATGTAATATGTAGGGATATAATGTACGGACTTTTGATACAGGGATTTCATCACTTGTAACAGCTGGGGAGGGCAACGATCGTTTTAAATAATTCATATTCATACATGCAACGTTCGTATGAGTGAAATTGGATCCACAGTAAGCTTTCCCTTCCCGTCCTTACGTAACGGACACTATGTTGCTTTTTATGAAACGTCTTTGTCCAATTTTTACCTAGGTTAAAAATAAAACCATTAACGTGGTTCACGTTTAACAGCTCTCTACATTCGCACGTCAGAGCAACGCATCCTATCAAGAGTGATCGACAACTACAGTCACACAACACTTGCATTAGCCTGTCAAACGACAGGTCTTCGAACGACGATCAGATAAAGCTGCTGCTCGTGGCAACTTTATTATGGTGCTCGAATCACGCGGCGAGGAACTGGCCGAGACAAGCTTCTTTACGGGCCACGTCTCGCTGCTGTGGCGAAAAACCACACCGTCACGTCTATCACAAGGTCACGTAACAATGTCAAAACGTAACCATGTCTGTCAACATAGAACGGCGGAACATAGGCGGCACCGGGGCACCGTGCCCCCCTTTGATTTTGGCATTTTAACATTAGCCCTATGGGCGTTGCATGGAAAGAATGGGACCAAAAGTCAGCAGTGCCTCCCCCCCCCCTTAATTGAAGGTGTTCCGCCGCTACTGTCTGTCAAGATGTTACTTCTTATCTCCTGTCACATCCTGCACATTAACACGTCTTGATACGATACCCATGACACTTCGACACTTACCTGGATCAAGGGTTTGTCCGTTCAGTCTCCGTCTGACACCGGTTCAGCGCGTCGCTTCACCGTGTCACACTCACTGCGTCTTCACTCACTCCGCCGTCACAGCGCCGCAGTCTCAGCACGCCAATCTTGACTACCGTGCCAAAATAGCGCTCCACCGGCCCAACGTCTTTCACCTCAGATTCCATCAACCGTTTGCAAAGAGGCTCACAGCTCTCACAAACAGTTCGCCTACTAGCGAACTAGCCACCGCTGCGGGCGGACAGCACAGTCACCGGCCGCCCGGCGCCACAGGCGGGGTCCGACTGACCGTCCCTGCCGCCCCCGCCCCCGCCCCCGCTGCCGCTGCCGCTGCATTCGACGAGGGCTCACCTGGCCGCACGAGGCCGACCCTCGACGGCCCCGCTCGCGATCGATTCTCAGTTGACTCGTGCGGTGCCCGTCTGGTCGCTGGCGGACGCCGTCCAGTCGTCCAGCAGCTGCAATTAACTGGACTGGCCCGGAGTGTGGACTCACGGGAACTCACGAACGTTTGACCGACTAGAGGGGGGGCTGGGGGGGGGGAGGCTGTAGCGCTGACCGCGAGGCGGCGCGGCGGGTTGCGGTGCAGAGCGGAAGTGAGCCAGTCGTTTCCGAGTTAGCTGTGAGAGTCCACGGCGTGCTTACTGTCACGGCAGACTGATGAAGGCTGGGAACTGGTGCTAAACAGGGTGATTTTGTTCGTGGCTGGTTTCACCGGATGCACAATGCTGCAAGTCGCACGGTGTTTTGGAAACTAAATAAGTTGTCACCGTATAATTTTGCTACGGCTGTAGGACATCAACTTCAAGTGGCGACCCGGGGGTAACTCAGCGAGCTATTTGAGATTTCGAGCGCGAAACAGCTTCTTGCAAAACCCGACCTCAAATTATACCGTTGACGTCTGTGAGACGTTTCTGTCCTTGTAGCTGATTGATGATGAGATAACTGTTATCAACCATTACGGTCGTTATAGGCGCACTCAGCCGGCGAGCTGATCATATCTTCTAGCTTTATGGATAAAGTGTCACTTCTTGAATGGTTTTTAGCACAGTTTTACATTCTAAAGCAACGAAGACGACGCTTAGGCCGGGAATGAGAGAACGAACGACCGTTCAGTTACCATTTTAATTTTTATTAGCACTAAAATCTCCTCCTCCCTGTCGTCGCATCATGGGGTGGCCCACTCGTGCCCCTTTCTCGTGTTGCATTATGTATATCTCCGCCAGTTGATTGCTGCTGCAGCATCCACGTCAGTTTATCAGTGCCGTGCATCACGAGTGGCAGATGGACGGCGGGCCTTGACCAGCCCAGCGGTCCGCTCCCATCCCCGGGAGCCGGACCTGGGCCAGCCAGGTGCGGGGGTGGGTGCGGGAGGCGGACCGCCGGCTGAAGATCACCCTCATCTGCTGGGAGTGTCAGTTGAGACTCGGCACTCGGCAGGCGGTGGTGATTGTCCGCGCTGCTGTGCGGAGGCTGGCGGTGAGGTAGTGAGAATCGTTCTCAACTCTGCTGCGTTCTCAACTCCTGGAGAGTCTGCTAAGTCTCTTCAGTCAGCAGAGATTGCGTACCTACGGCTCGGGGAGAGAGGATGTCAGTGAGCCGGCGAGGTATTGAGACCAGAGTATGACGGTTATCCGGCGTAGACGGTTGCGTGCGGTGGTGCTCGTTGCATTGATAGCTACAAGCGCTGCACTGCTTGCGCTGATGGTGATGGGAGGTGATGGGGACGTCACAGTGCTCACGAGGGAGAGCAGGGAGGTTGGAAGCTCAATGCGGAAGGACAGAGTGGTGACGTCGAAACAGTGGTCACCTGCAGAAACCTCAAAGACAGTGACTGAATCGGGCGATGTTTCATCAAGAGCTGTGCTGCTTGCTCCCAATATGAGCAAACCAACTTCTGCAGAAGATCACTCTCTTGAAACAGAATCGCATTCTTTGAAAAGAGCAGTCTTCGACGCAAAGATCACTCAGCCATCTCGGGAACCAATTCCAGCCCCGCATCAACCTTACAAAGAACGAGAACTCGTCAACCCGTTGCCCGGCTGCCAGTGCCAAAGACGTCTCCCTCCCCGCGCGCGCCGTGTCGCCTCCTCCTGCGCCGGTTTTGCCGCTCTTCGCGGTCCTCGACAGCGAGTGGTATCTTTCAGCTGGTTCGGAGGAGTGGATACGGCTTACTTCCGAGGGATCGCAGCCAATGCTGCTCTCCTACCGCGCTACTACCCCGGCTGGGTGATGAGGGTGTACTACACTGTAAACCAAATCTACAAGTTGGCTCCTTGTTACAAGTTTGGTTCCAATTCGCATAGGCGTCACCTTGTCGATTCACCAGCCCCAGGCTTGTTGGCTAACAAACTAACAGTTTGTCTACAAGTTTGGTTCTAATTCGCATAGGCGTCACCTTGTCGATTCACCAGCCCCAGGCTTGTTGGCCAACAAACTAACAGTTTGTCTACAAGTTTGGTTCCAATTCGCATAGGCGTCACCTTGTCGATTCACCAACCCCAGGCGTGTTGGCCAACAAACTAACAGTTTGTCTACAAGTTTGGTTCCAATTCGCATACACTGTAAAAAAAATTCACTAGCTAATTTTGAAATTAGGCATTTTTTACGAGTGCCTCCCTTGCTCCTCGTTACAACATATATGAACATTAGTAGTCAGAGCCATGCACGTTAACAATGCCGCGTGTGGAACAAATGCCTACGAGCGAGAACATGTTCAGGAACCTAATTTTGCGCAGTGTTAATGAACTACGCACAGCCTCACAGTGTTACCCGCCGTTGGCTTGTTCTCGGCCAGTTTTTAGCGTGTCCCTCAATTAGGTCATTTCGCTATTAGCTCAGCTGACGAGGCCCCGGCTGGCACCTACTAAACGGATAACCTTGCGTGCAACCCCGCTTGTTGTCACGAACGCCTGCAGCTGGTAAACGTGCTGGCAAGCTTGCGTGGTAAGCGGCTTCGGATGGCTATGAGGATGTGCCTCATAGCTATCCTCGTCGCATGTTACAACCTAGGAGTCTGTGGCTGCTTTCAGAAGGAGTCCCCCCCCCCGCATCCGGGAGCCGGCGTCCATTTTGTGTTGCGTCGCCATTGCTGTGTGTGTCTGCCCAACTGCTCTTTGGCTTGATTGAAGGTGAGGCATCTTGTATCATTTGCTGTGTGCTCAACAAAAAGGTTGTCCATTTGTAAACAAAGGTTATTATGTTGTTGAGCTTCTTAGAAGATGTATAGTATCGCATAATGTTGCCCGCCGTTGGCAGAAGTGCGCCGGTATCGTCTATCCAAGTCAGAATAGCTATATGTTTGGGACTTAAGCTAGCTTGTGGCAGGAATCTATCACTTTATTCAACTTTAATTTAATCATTTTCCAGATTGGTATGCCTTATGATAATAATAATGTTAATATTCGTTTTTTTCACCCATTACAGACTTCTCTAGTGAAGAATGGGGCCATGTATGTCCTGGCCTACCTGCACCCCGCGACTGCCGCCGGTGCAGAGCTAATGAAAAAATCACAAATGTTTGATGGTGGTTATTTAAGAAACCTTATTGAAAATTATTCAGTAAGTTGTTGTTGTTGTTGTTGTTGTTGTTGTTGTTGTTGTTGTTGTTGTTGTTGTTAAAGTTATAGTTATTGTCCTGGCGTTGTTATTGTTCTCGTTCTCGTTCTCGTGCCCGAATAAATGTGCTGCAGCGCTACTCAGTCTGTTTACTTGCGGGTGGCGGTCGAGAGTCGGGGGCACTGGTCGACGGAATTCCGTCGACGGAATTCCGTCGACCGTGCCTCGACCCCGAAGGCCAGTAGTGGTACTAGTTAACTAGTGCCACTACTGGCCTTGAGCTAGTACCATTACTAGCCTTGGGGGCTAGTACCATTACTGGGTATCGATTAGTAGGCAGTGGCTAGTTACCTTACCAGGCAGGGGCTGTTATGACACCTAGTAGACGCACTACCCACGCTATTTACGTGCGTGTTGTCAAACTAGGTGGAGCACGGTGGTCGTATGCATACGAGGCACAGCCTTGTCGAACAAGCTTGTTACTCGGCAACTAGCCTAAAATTAGCCAAATTTACACGCTCCTGCAATGTTATTTTTGCGCTGAGAATTCCTCTACGAGGGGCTTGTAAGTTTTTTTTACACACTGTAAAAAAAACTTACAAGCCCCTCGTAGAGGAATTCTCAGCGCAAAAATAACATTGCAGGAGCGTGTAAATTTGGCTAATTTTAGGCTAGTTGCCGAGTAACAAGCTTGTTCGACAAGGCTGTGCCTCGTATGCATACGACCACCGTGCTCCACCTAGTTTGACAACACGCACGTAAATAGCGTGGGTAGTGCGTCTACTAGGTGTCATAACAGCCCCTGCCTGGTAAGGTAACTAGCCACTGCCTACTAATCCATACCCAGTAATGGTACTAGCCCCCAAGACTAGTAATGGTACTAGCTCAAGACCAGTAGTGGCACTAGTTAACTAGTACCACTACTGGTCTTCGGGGTCGTGGCACGGTCGACGGAATTCCGTCGACGGAATTCCGTCGACCAGTGCCCCCGACTCTCGACCGCCACCCGCAAGTAAACAGACTGAGTAGCGCTGCAGCACATTTATTCGGGCACGAGAACGAGAACGAGAACAATAACAACGCCACGACAATAACTATAACTTTAACAACAACAACAACAACAACAACAACAACAACAACAACAACAACAACAACAACAACAACAACTAACTGAATAATTTTCAATAAGGTTTCTTAAATAACCACCATCAAACATTTGTGATTTTTTCATTAGCTCTGCACCGGCGGCAGTCGCGGGGTGCAGGTAGGCCAGGACATACATGGCCCCATTCATCACCAGAGAAGTCTGTAATGGGTGAAAAAACGAATATTAACATTATTATTATCATAAGGCATACCAATCTGGAAAATGATTAAATTAAAGTTGAATAAAGTGATAGATTCCTGCCACAAGCTAGCTTAAGTCCCAAACATATAGCTATTCTGACTTGGATAGACGATTCCGGCGCACTTCTGCCAACGACGGGGAACATTATGCGATACTATACATCTTCTAAGAAGCTCAACAACATAATAACTTTTGTTTACAAATGGACAACCTTTTTGTTGAGCACACAGCAAATGATACAAGATGCCTCACCTTCAATCAAGCCAAAGAGCAGTTGGGCAGAC